AGCCAAAATCTTGTAAGATAAATGTTCCGAATCTCTCGGAAATCTAAGAAGAAACATTCCCGAATCTTTTAGCACTTGAAATACGAAAAAAAAAGTTTTATTATAAGGTTCGCCACAAAAATTCATTGGAGGTAGTTTTAGAACTGCCGAAGGGCTGTCCAGAATTCTTGAAAAACTCCAAAGAAGTTTGTATTTCTTCATGGGAAAAGAAAAAATCCTCCATTGTTCTCTAATTATAACTTGCCAGTCAAAACCTTATTAAAGAAACTTTCCACACTATCTGGAACTTTAATCAGTACCTACTCAAAATTAAAAAGTTACCAAGAAATTGACGAAATATCGAATAAGTTAATCAAAATGTTTTAATGTAGTTCCAAAGATACAACCTCACTTAAGAGATCTGGTGGGAATCAAAATTAGATCTGATTACAGGATGTCAACAAAGGGGGTGGCCACGTTACTTCAGAGCATGAAATGACTTGAAAGCATTTTTTCTAACTTTGGAAAAATTTATTTTTCATTAGCTGCTAGATTTAGTGGTCTAAGTCTATATGGTACCTACTGGTATGATATGGGTAACAATGTCGTAATAGTGATGTAAAAAAACTCAATTCGTAAATGCAAAAAGCTCGATTTTTTTCTCGATTTTTTTTCATAAAGATTCCAGTTTTGGATAGTCCCCAAGCAGTCATCAGATTGTGATAAGTGTACGAATCGTGCGCTCTTGCTGCACTTTTTTGTAGTTCTAAACCTTTCCCTAATGGAGTTCTGTGGTAAATCTTATAATATATTCTTTAGTTCTGATTAGGGTTCCCGGTAGCCCCATAAGAGTTCTGCAAGTTTCTCTTTGTGTGGAGAGTGGAGATTTATAATAAGAAAAAGATCGAGGATTTTTTACTTTTGCCACTATAAGAGATACAAAAAAAATGTTCTTATTTAGGTGTTGGGAGTTTTGACTAGATAAATAAAAAATGGCGACTTTTTCGTATTTCAAGCGCCAAAGGCGATCTTTCCGTACGGTGTGGAAATTAAAAATTGCGGAAAATTGCACGCAAAAATGCAAATATCTTCCGCAATTAAACATTAAGCCGGTATTATCTTACCCCTCGCAGATAATTTTACATATGCCTATTGGAATACATAATGCGGGGTGTCGTGTTTCGCGATTGTCGATCGAAATTTAATACACTTTTTAAATTTCACACTACCGCAATTAACATACGTACTGCCTCATCGCCGCGGAAAAATTACAGTAATTACCAGAGAAGAAGGAACGTATGCTCAATTAATTTTGCATACGATAAACCGTGTGATTAGCGGAGTGCAGAGAAAAAAAACGGGACCTCTATGCGGAATTTTTGATAGACATCTTTACAAGAAACGCGAGATATAATCGCGAAACTAAAAGACGTTTAGATTAATGGCGCTGAAGACGCCTTGCTTTTCTCTCATTAAACTTTATGACGCAAACGATCACGTGCAAAATTTCGAAACGGAAGTACTGATAATTTTTATTGTTTATAATACAATTGCCAACCTCGACGGCGGCGGCGGGTGCAACTCGCGAAAAATGTAATGTTAATGCAAAAGAATTATTCATGTACCGCACGTATTACCTATAATGTATGTAGGATAAGCATTGACAATTTAGACGCATTTGTAATTGATGAATATGAATGAGTTTTTAGTATTATGTATTGTTGTTACAAATTCCTGGTAGCCACCACGATTGCCCAAGGGCGATTTTGTCGTATCGCGTTTCCTTCCTATGTAATGAACACGCCTTTCTATTAAGACCAAGGCAGCAGATGCTCATAATTTTGTGGAGAAGGTTGTTATTTAATATGTAAAAGAGTGGCCTAAGGAAAAAAAATGGGTTTTTGCCATGGTATCGTGCGCAAATGTCCTCTCAATGTCACTAGGGAACTAAACAAAACGTGCAAATCTTCGTTAAAACTCCATCATTCATATCAATAGTGACAATTTTCTTCAACAGCTCGGAAAAGGCTCATAAAGACTTTTGAGAAATTCTTCTTAATCGGTCTAATATATAAAAATCTCGTGTCATGGGGTTTGTGGTCGCACTCCTCCGACACGGATCGACCGATTTTTATGACATTTTTTTTGTATATTTGGTAAGTATCAGAATAGGTCATAAAGCATATTTCATACCGCCAGGTGATTACCTATCTCGCCGGGTGTGCGAGGTGAGGCGGCGCAACCGCGGTACGAAGTTCGCGGGATCTGCTAGCAATCCATAAAAATCCATGAAGGCGCTTAGGCCCTTACACAAACATAAAATATGCATTTTGAAATGAGATCCCACGAAGCCATTTAAGAAAGCCAAGTTTTCGATTTAATAATAATACGAGTAGAAGCTAATGCACAGAAAAAAGTTTGTTACAAAATGACTCCCTGTCACGATTTCGATTTGACGGAGTTAATAAAATTGAAATGAATTTTTTTTTTATTTATTCACGTCGCCTTATTTCCATGATTAAATCATGTAAAGTATATTTAAATTAAAACTCGAATCCCAATGAAGTCGATCAAATTCAATTTACAATCAATTAAAAAAAAGGTGGCAAATATTATAGTGGATGAAAAACTTATTCGTAATAAATTATTATACAAAGGAAACTATTTATCCATTTACAAACATTATGCGTGTTTTATGCGGTACTTCCTCCCACCTGCTAAGAGACATTTATATATTTTACACCTGGTTAAACTTGCGCGGCTATATAATCATTTGACAGTTCCCATTTTTACAACCATTTTTAATTAATTTTTTAATTGGTGTAGGTACATTTTTTGATGGATAATACAATTAACTTTCTAGCCTTAGGAGAATGAAACTCCCCCTCTCTATAAAGTGGGTATTTTCATTCCTGCACGTAATTTTACTAGTACGCAACGCGATTTGTAATAAAGTCGCGGATAATTGCGAATCTTACTCCTCCAGGTAAAACACTTAACGGAAATTCCTTGTCGCATATCGGAATTTAAATAGGCGGAAAAAGAACTAACAGACGAAGAGAAATTCTAACCGGATCTTTCATGTTCGTGTCGATATTAGATATATACTTTTATACAGTTCGTGTTTTGAGGTATTCTGTAATAAAAAGGTTAAAAACGTTACCGGCATAAGAAAATTCACAAAATTTAAACTAGTTCTGGTTCAAAAGCTACATCAAAAATTCCATTCGTGTCGGTAGATTTATATCCGCCGATTTTGTACAAATGTTTTCGAGATTCCTATCCAAAGAGATGGCGCACCTCTAAACGGGGGAGAGACACAAAACATTCTGATTTCGACGAAAATTTTTATTTTAGAAAGCGCCAAGTAGGTGTGGTGGTTTCTAAAATAAAAATGTAGAATCTGTAATTTTTGAAATTCCTAAAAAATACTACTATAATTCTTGGCTGGACAATATATGAAAGTCTTGTGTATATGTTCTTTAAGTATCTCGAGCTCGGTTCGAGGTTCGGTTTTAAAGATTCGTCAGCGCTTCAAAAAAATTTTACAGCAAAGTTCTAACAGAATTATAAAAAGATTCCTAGGAAATTAGACAAAACAGAACGAAATTCCAATACGATCTGAATCTGGCGCTTACGATCCCAAGGAGAACATTCCACGAAGACCGAGAACAGTCGAGGGACCCTTAAGAAGATTCTAGAGACTCACGGAACAAGATCGTGGTCATTTGAATGAATAAAATAGTCGTAAACGTTTCAGCATTACATTTTAGCAAGTGTTTAAAATGCACAATTTTTCACCCTCCGCGCCCGCCACTATATTATATTAAAACAAACCGAAAAAAATCGGCACTTTCTTTAAATTTACGCTTACATCTTCGTTACGGTGCATTTGAGCTAAAAAACCAACCGTTTGTAAGGGAACCCCCCTCTTTTTTTTCTATTGACTGGACTACCCGTATTACAGCGCGAGACAAAAATCTACTGAAAAAGACTCAATTCAAAATATAAACCAAGGGTATACAGTATTTCTCCAAAAGTTACAAAATCACCACATTTTTTCAATGTTTTTCTCAGCAATCATAACACGTATCTAATGAATTTGATACAACAACCATTCCAGTCAAACAAACAAATTCTCCAGATAAATGAACCAAACACAACTGCCAATGCAAATTTAGTAAAACCTATTATAAATTATATAAAAAGTTGTTTTCGTGAATGAATAGGAAGTATCTTACGAAGAAAGTCGTCAATGCGTCGACAATGCTGGCATATATTAAAGAAAGGACCGATAAGGTTGAATCCTCCTCTGCATTCCAATAAAATGATAGGATTAGGACGAATACTACCAATATTAATCAATAAAACAGTTCCTAAGATTTTCAAAATTATATAAAAATTCGAAAGCGTTTTAATAATTCCAAAATAAATACGACATTCACTAATAACATTTTCAAAGTTTCCAGATTTCCGAATAATCCCAGGAGGCCTTACATTCTAATCTAATGACCGCCAAGATTTTTAGGATTCAAGGAAGTATCCCAAGCTTGGCAAAGGTCCCAAGATTCAGGCAATTCAAGACCTACTATCGAGGTTGTTAAAATTTAACATCCCCATTGCCATAAAACACATTTATTAGTTATGGGCATTTATTAATTACATTATGTTTTAATTTCTATTCAAATTCGACTTAAGTCGCGTATAAGTATGAAAAGATGAAAATCGTAGAAATAAACAGGCCACAAAGAAAAATCTTATTTCTTTCCGGGACTAGAGACAAATTCAATTTGTTCAGGTCGTCCAAAAAAACGAAAAATAAGTCTTTGTACGAACACAATGTAATTAATAAACTCTCTCTAAAACTTTTAATTAACTGCATAAATAATGATTATGTACAGTAATGATACTGTTTCGAGAGGAATTGCAACGAAAATTAGCAAAACAATTGCGCAGCTCGTCTACATCAATTATAACGTTTCAGATAAGCACGATAATTACACGACTTTATTTTAACTTACCCTTATGTGTCGCATGAAATGGCGCCCCCGTTGGTGGAACACCGGAAGAAAAACGCCCGATTGTGCTTGCATGCGAGTATATGGCACCGCCTAGATTCGGACCACCAGGAAACAAAGAGTAAACTCCATATCGACCGAACCCTAAAAAGAATAGAATTCAATTAATAATTTATGTATATTGCAATGGAGGCAGTACTTTAAATTAATTTGCAGGAATGCCCGGTGCATTTACATATATGTACGTGCTGGTATTTATAAACCTTTCATTTGAAACAATAAATAATTGTTTTGTATCCATTTTTCAGCTCTAAAATTTCAGAAACTCCTGAAACTGATTTATTGGAATTTTCTTTTCTAATAACTTTTCCGGAAAGATTTGTAGAATATTTTCACAGGCGGTTTTAAGAAAACACTAAACCTCATCCATTATGTTGAGATGACAAATTACCGAACTGGTCGCTTTACGGAAAGATCATTTTGCTTTACGTTAGCCGTATTTTCTTGTCTGTCTAATAAACAATAATGGGCCATCAAAAATGAATTGCTGTCGACTCGCCTTTGGAAGTTCACGTTAAGTACGATTTCCCATGTAAACAAACATTTCAAAGGTAACTCGACAGCAACTCTTTGATCGCATAGTATTATGGGGGAGGGTTAGTGTTTTCTTACAACAATAACGTATTTCGACATCCATGGATCGTCACCACAAAAGAGGTTTCCTGAAAATGTTGTAAATTGAACCATTCGAAGAAAAACACTATTCACATTGATTTCCACGAAAATATCTAGCAAAATTCACTACGTCACTACTTCCAGCAAGACCAAGACCATATTAAAAAAAATTCCAAAAATATAACATTTTCGAGTGAAGTTTCTAAAAAGACTACTCAATCATCTAATTTCGCATGCATGTAGTTAGTTGAAAATAACAAAAAATTTAAGTCGATATAATGAATTTTAATAATTTTTGGGATATTTTAAAACATTTTTCTTATTTAGAGGGACACTAAGGGAGGCTTCACTGTTGTATGTGAAAGCAGATTAGAGAAGAGAATGGAAGAGATTTAAAAGAGGCTGTTGTCGACGACGAGTAACAAAAGTTAAGAAACGAAATCCAAAAAGTCAAGAATTATTGGGCCAATACAAAGAAGAAGTAGCAAACCCTGGAGATTAGTGAAGTACTAGAAGGACGACAAGATCCTTTTAGGCGACAAGTAACGACTGCTTTTACGGATTCAGAAGAAGTCCATGAAACTCGCATCGTCCAAAGCGACTATGGGCCGAAATTGATGTTTTGCATCAGAGGACCAAGAAATTCTACGGTAATTTAGAAACTATAGATCCTTCCAAAATGCGAATCATGAAGAGCATCAATACCAACGAAAGAAACCAAGATGAGCCACAGTGTTACCAACAACAAGCTGAAAATAGAAAACAATTTGCGGGTGATATGGGATTTTTGAAAATGTCATTTAAGTAAAGTTCCATAACAATAAATGAACATTATTCCAAGTGATCTATGAAGTCGTTGTATTGTTGTATAAGGTTCCTATTTTACACCCCAATGAAAGAAATCCAGAGGGGTTAAAACTGGTGAACGAGGCGAACTAGTCAATTAGTGCCTATCCACCAATCTCCAAAAAACGGCGCAAAACAGCACTGCTGTAAAAGTTGTGTGGCGATGCCCCATCCTGTTGGAAATATATAACTCTTCCGACTTTGCCCATTACTATACATATATCATTAAGTATAGGTACCCTCATAAAAATAGTCCAATATTTTTTTCTACCCATTATTCTCACCTACACCACCCAATTTTGTTGACATACTTTATATGTAACACCTAGTATAAAGAAACAAAAATAGTTTATTCCGAGGGTTATTCGTTTTAAAAATTACAATCCCCGTAATGTATAATTACAAAGTAAGGGCAAAGAATACATAATAATTAACCGTTGTCTTCAGAGGATTGCTTGGGGACCTCTTAAACATAATTAAATTAAAAAGAAATGTATTTCATGCACTCCAAAAATTTTAATCCTCGCAAAATAAGAGCGAAGTGCTATTTTAAAAAAAAATACGTACTTTGAAAATCGAGAAGAGTTCATTTGACATCGATTTAGACAGTTGCCTATGATCCCTGTCGTGAAACACCCGCGATTTCAAAAGCTCGAGGGGTAGAAATCGGGGTAGACATTTTATGCACAGTTAGAGACTATATCGACATATCCCACCTCGTATCCCAGCTCCTATATCGAAACATACAATCCCCCAATGAATGGAAAAAAACCGGCCACTAAAAGTTATATGTACTACATTATTCAGAGACCTCTATTTTTACAAAATTTGACAGCAAAATTCTTTTGGATTCCAAAAATATTTCTTACGAAGAAAAAATTAAACTGTATCACGAGGAACCGTTACCGACAAAATCATATGACAGGAAATGATTTAATTTTATAATTCTACATTTCGGTATGATATAATTTGTATATTAATTTGGACTTGCAAAATTAATTTTTTTAAAACAAAATTTGCAATTCAATCGCCTTAAACGATTTGTACCACCGTGATCTTTGTCTAGAATATTTCAAATTTGAATAATTTTTGTCATTCTCAAGTTTGAAAGAAGAATTTATTTATGTTAAAACTGAATCTCTGTAATTTGTAAGTAGCAAGACATCAAAGGCGGCAGATAAAAGTACACGGAATAATAGTTTTCCCCAAATTCATTAATAGTACTAAGTAATGTAGATACTATCAATGATGAAGTGATGATTTTGTGAAGGTTAGTTTCGGTTCCATGCGTACTAATAGACAAAAAATTTCGTGCGTGTTTACCATAATAAGTTAAACACGTGAACAGGATACGTAATTACTACATTAAATGTCATATTTACATAAAATGAACCTTAAATAATTTACTGTAAGGAGGTATGTGCTAATAAGCCGTTGACAACGTTTTTTCCCAAAATGTTACTGGCGGACGGCTATTTTCCTTAAAATTTCGAAATTAACCCTGAATTTGATTAAAATTATTTATAGGACTCTGGTTTCTAACATATGAGGTAGTCAATTTTATTGATGCTGTAATCGCAGTTACGTGGATATCACTTCTAAATGCAGCAAATTCAACTATCGGAAACGTATTGTGTCCAAATGTTTTCGAAAAGTGAGGCAGTAAAATAAAACAGTTTGGAAGAGTAATGGATACGTTGTAAAAGTCGCGTACACATGTTGCAAGGGTTGTTTATGTTTTAACGTAACAAAAGTTTTATGAGAGCTCGGAGACTTTTCGAGCTTAAACAAGTTCAACCGAAGAATATCAATTATCTATATAAACGTTATTAAATCAAACCGAGAGAGAATCTCCGAAAGCGAACTAAATGCGGGATATCGGCCGAAATGTAATCTACATATTTAACAGGACGCTTATAAATAATTTATGGAACTCCACGTGTTACTATTTAGTTGCCAACACCAAAACATTAATATATGTCGCCCTCAACGACTTTTTCGTTTTATTTCGGGAACTTTAGATATCGATTTGGTGCTTTGACTACGCAAACATCAGTCGGTCCACCGATCTCATTCATCCCCAATATAGACATTGTTTCGATATGCATTACAATGGAGAACTAGTTCGCGCTTACATTACGAAAAGGAAGGCACGACTTATTTTGAAGGTTGCTCAAAGCTGCTGATTTTTAAATCCCAAAGACCACGGTGTAAAATTCGCCAAAAATCCAAAATTACTCGCCGCGGAATATCCTCCTCCCAGTAAACTCTCGTCAAGTATTTAATTTGCAAGGTAACGGATCCACAAAGTGATTGATATTAGTGGTGAATTACGGATTTTTGTAGCAATTGGCTCTGACATTGAATGACCAAGAAAAGGAATTACGTTGAATGTGTGGCAACGCAGGGAAACTTGTGAGGAAAACGAACCGAATATTGAAATTGTCAAATCAAACAGCAGTCAATACAGTATCGGCTTTCATCTCAACCTCACAATCGGTTAGCTAAGTTGCAGTTACCCAAGTTTGGAGGTGAAGCACGTGAATGGTTAGTTTTAGTCACAATATTGTCCACACTGACAAGATTATCGCTACAACCGTCAAATTCCAGTACTTTACATGAATGATGATTCAAAAGCTCAGGAATTAATTCATAGTTATCCATTGACGGAAGAAAATTATGAATTGGCCGTTGTCAGTCTATGTGAAAGTTTTGGACGAACGGATATGTTGGTAAGAGACCTTCTAAAACTCTTGTTGGAGAATGCAATGAAGAAAGAGAATCTTAATTTTTCCGTATCTATGTGCGTCTTACCTCTCCGTTACGTGCTCTTGGATCCCTAGGTGTGATCGCTGATAAGTGTGCAAGCGGTTTTGTATTCGATGGTGGAATCAACGCTTCCCGAAGATGTGTTTGTTGCATAGAAGTGTAACCGTTTCACTGGCGTCAACACAACAATTGAAGATTATCTAGAAAAACCCATACAGTTTCTGCAAAAAGAAGTCAACGGAAAAGAATGACTGCGATAAGGATTTTTATGGGTTAGATGAAAAGGCAGAAAAAAGTAACAGTTAACAATTTCATAAAATAAGTATAAGAAAAATATCCCCAAACAGCTGGAGAAATTAGCTAAAGAAATCGGAATGGTTGCAATTGGCGAAGAACAGAGTATACACCAATTTTATTTGGACGAGTATAATCACAACCAAAAAAACATAAAGAATACAAGATTAAAATTTCTGATGTAAGACTGTATTTTGATTTTGACGTCTCAGATTCACAAAGAATGCCTAGAAGTATTAATACCATTACTCATGGTCCATGGGTTCAAGAACTGGACAATTTTCATGCCTATCTCACCGACACAGGAAGTTATCATGAAGAAGTAGAAGTACCTACTCGTCGGTGGGAACGTGTTGGGAAAGTTGTATACGGGACGAAAATATGAACTTAGAAGTGGTTCTGTGGCAATGGAGACAAATCTCGGATGAGTGTTGATGAGAAAAATGCGAATTCAAACACAATCATCAACCCTGGTAGTCTAATCATGTCCTAATCACTGATCTCTGAAACCTAGAATCTCTTGGAATACAAGATCTTGTGGAAGCGAAAACTAGAGAAGA